CTTATTACACTATGCATCTATACCCTCTACATATTGGTCTTTTGCGTTTCAGGCAGCAGTATATTTAATAAACCGCCTGCCCACTCCTATTCTCCAACACTCAACACCGTATCAAAAGTTGTTTAATAAAAAACCAAATTACGAGAAAATTCAACCATTTGGGTGCTTGTGTTTTCCTTGGTTAAAGCCATATTTTCCGGTGAAGTTAAACCCAAAATCACTACCTTGTGTCTTTTTAGGTTACTCATTAAGCCAATCTGCCTATAAATGCTTAGAACCGGCTAGTGGTCGTATTTATATTTCACGACATGTCTCATTTGTCACTAATGAATTTCCTTTTCAAGCGCTATTTAGTGACCAACAGAAAAATTCCTCGTGGTCATTGACCGTTGAGCAACCACCACAAATCATAATTCCGAATTTCAGTCACTCCTTACCTAGTATAGATAATTCTAACACCGCTTCTGTCTCGCCTACTCCACCATTTGCTCCGGCTTTAGATGAACAACCCACACGGCAATCTCCAAACATTTCTTCTTCCGCTCATGTGTTCTCTGATCCTGCCCTGTCTGCGGCGCAATCTCAACTACCGTTTGTCCCTGAAGTTTCGGAGTCCTCCTCCCAGCCAAACGTGACTGTGTCCTTACCATCTCCTGAACAGTCCGACCGACCAACTGTTGTGGCCAGGCCATGACGGCAGCGACACCCAAATCCTAAATATTTTAATGACAAATTGGTGAATGTGACGACAACACATCCTATTGCCTCGTATGTTGAACCACGAACGGTGTCACAAGCCTTGCAGAATGAATTGTGGAGGACTGCTATGTCTGAGGAGTTTAATGAATTGGTGAGGAATTCCACGTGGGAATTAGCCCCTCGGGCTAATCATGAAGTGGTTGGCTGTAAGTGGATTTTTCGGGTGAAGCGTAGAGCCGATGGCTCGGTGGATAGGTTCAAAGCCCGATTGGTAGCAAAAGGTTTTTTGCAAGAGTCGGGTCGAGATTATTTCAAGACTTTCAGTCATGTGGTAAAACCAGTCACTATTCGTGTTATTCTTACAATTGCTTTGTCACAGGGATGGTTGTTACGCCAACTGGATGTCAACAACGTCTTCTTGAATGGTACTTTGTATGAAGAGGTCTATATGGAGTAGCCAAAAGGTTTTGTTGATTCGGTTTTGCCCAATCATGTATGCAAGTTGAAAAAGGCAATTTACGGTTTAAAGCAAGCCCCGCGGGCTTGGTACTTAGAGCTATCTAATTTTCTTATTGCCTATGGTTTCAAGAAGTCTGTAGCTGATTCGTCCTTATTTATTTATTGTACTGATTCTGTAGTTGTGTATTTCCTGGTGTATGTTGACGACATCATCCTAACAGGAAGCCACTTTTCTTTCATTGCTTCGTTTTTGCGGTGCCTAGCTGATCGGTTTTCACTTAAGGACTTGGGTCCGCTCCATCACATTCTTGGTGTTGAGGTTGTTCCTACGTTTGACGGATTATTCTTGTCACATAGTCAGTACGTGATTGATATTTTGGACCAGTTCGGTATGACGGGGGCGAAGGAAGTTTCAACGCCAATGTCACCCTCGGTGGACTTATGTGCTGATACTTCTCCAACCTCTGATGCAACGATGTACCGCCAGGCTATAGTTCGATTGCAGTATTTGGTCATTACAAGACCAGAGATTTCCTTTGCAGTGAATCGTCTAGCACAATTTATGGCGTTCCTAACTGAGGTGCATTGGCAGTCTGTGAAGAGAATTTTGCGTTATTTGAAAGGTATTGTTCACTATGGTTTGCACTTTCGGGGAGGTCCTTCTGGTTCTCTTTTGGCTTATTCTGACTCGGACTGGGGAGGTCTTCATGATGGGGGTCGCTCTACGACGGCATATGTTTCTTGGTGCCAATGTTGTCTCCTGGAGATCTGTTGAACAACGATCTGTGTCTCGGTCTTCTACGGAAGCTGAGTTTCGGGCACTTGCTAACTGTGCTGCTGGTCATGTGAATTCAAAATTTTTTAAAAGAGCTTGGGGTTCGGTTACAACGTTCGCCTATGCTTTGTGCAAGAATCCAGTTTTTCACTCCCGGATGAAACACTTGGGCATTCGATTATTTTTTTGTTTGTGAGCAAGTTAGTTCAGGCTCTCTACGAGTCAAACATGTCCAGTCTTCTGATCAGGTTACTGATATCTTGACAAAGCCATTGGGACACCGCTTGTTTGCTGGTTTTCGTAACAAGATTGGTCTCACTAATGGTGCGCCAATCTTGCGGGGGCTTGTTAAGACTTAGTAGTTTATTGTTAGTAATAGTAGGCATATTCTTTTGGTTGGTTGTAACTAGCTTCCTCTTTCTTTGGTTCGTATTGTATATATTTTGATGTCTTGAGATGAAGAAACCTGTTCCATTCAGCTCTTACAACTTGTTGAAGCCAGAGTGCACATCAAGTCTGGGATACATTGATTCAAAACTTAACCAACGTTGAGTCGTGCTTACAGTTACAGATGAATGTGGTTCATCATCAAAATATCTACTTGCAACATGTAGGAGGCCCTCCTTCATTGCTTCATTCCTACAAAACTCATGTACGATGTCATGCACCTTACATGACTTAATCTTGCCATCTAAGCTCAGCCTGTCATTCAAAACTAAACTCCTAGATACAAGATCATCTTCTAAGCTCCTTTCATCTTCTTCTACCTTCACAAACCCTTCTGCTATCCATAATCTTATAAGCTTTTTCATAGGGATTGCACTATCTTCACGAAAAACTTCCAGATATAAGAATCAAACTCTCAAGACATCAAGTAAGTGGTTGTAACTCAACCTGAGAATCTCTGCAAAACTATCAAGAAGGTTGTTGGTCACAGTGGCACATAATATTTTCTCAATCTCCTCTGATTGAGATTCCCATAGTGACTCATTGGTAGCTTGTACAAGTCCTGCAACTATGAAAATTGCAAGCGGCAATCCTTTACAATACTCAACAATGTATCTCCATATCCCTTCAAGTTTCATAGGCGGCAAGCTTAAGCTTCCATAATTGAGAATCCTCTGATTAAATAATTCCCAACTTTCATCTGGATTAAGAAACGCAAGTTTAGCCAATAATTATGTGATCCTCCTATTGAAATGGCCACTTCTTGAAGTCGAGTGGTCATTAATATTCGACTACTATTACTATTTTCTGGGAAGCACCTTTGGATTTCATCCCAGGAGCCTGTGCTCCACAAGTCATCTAACCCAATGAGATACCTCTGACCCATTAAACATTTACGTAATAAGTCTGCTAGTTCTTAGTTGCTTTTATTGATGATTTCCTCCATTGGAGGAGACGTCCAGATCTGGTCCCAGATCTGGTCGTCCTCTCCTTGAAGACGACTGGACCTGGTGGAATAGGCAGCCGTTCGGTCGTCTTCTCCTGTGGAAGACGACCGGAATTTGTCGCCGGTGGCCGAAATTCGTTGCAGGTGACCGGAATTCGTCGTCGGAATTGAAATGACCTATAATAATAGGTCATTTACCGGTTTTTGGGTTTCATTGACTTAATTTGACATGTTTGAGGGTTTAATTAACCTTTTTTTTTTAAATTTTAGAGGCCTAATTGACTTTTGGGGTAAAATTTACTGGTGTATTTGATCCTTTTCTCCTCCTAAATATTATACTCCATATGGAAAGTCAATTAAATCTATAATTTTTAAAAATTATAATTAAATAATTGAAAATACTATTCAGACCAATAAAACGTATAAATCAAGTGTAGGATAATTTTAAAACAGAATTATTAGTAGAGCAGGTCACAGTATTGTGTGGATGACTTGTAGGACTAAATATTGATTCCCAAAGATTCTGAAGTGTAGATTCCAAAATACTATTCAGTAGCAGACAATTGCAATAGTATCCATCAATCTGCATTTACAATCAAAACAAAGAAATTTAACAACTATGTTTCTGATGGATTATATGAACCCGGGGGTCCGGATTATACAACCCGTGTATATGAATTAATACGAAGAACGAATAACGAAACAGTAAATACTATATTAATCGGACATAAATTGCTATTACAGATGTTTAGAACGTGTAATAACGTGACAAGTATTGTATGAAAAGGTAGAAGATGTTTGAATAGGACACCGGGGGGTGTTTATATACCCCCAGCTGCTACAGGCCCCGGGCCCTCGGGAGGAGCCGCGGGCCGCACCGCGGGACTCGCTCCACGCGAGGACTCGGCCATTGGCCGAGCACGGGGATCGGCCAATGGGCCGAGCATGGGCTCGGCCGAGCCCATGAGGGCCGAGGCCGAGCCCATGTGGCCGAGCCCAAGGGGCTCGGCCGAGCCCTGTGGGGCCGGCGTGGGCCGACCCCATGTTGGGCCGACCCCGAGGTGGTTGGCCGTCCCCGGGGTGGTTCATCCTGTCCCGGGGCAGACCCGGTTTACACTGTGCGTTGCTCCGCTCCGGCTCCGTGATTATTCCATCATCAGTCCCCCACTCTCGGGGCTGCGAGGAGTCGTCAGCGCAAGAGAGTAAAAATAAATTTAATAATTACGGGGCTCCGAATAGTGCTCCAAAAAATTCACCCTCCTCCTTGCAGAACTCTTGACGCGGTAGGACTCTTACCCGGATTGGTCTCCAAGTCTGCACAAATCCTTATCAGTTAAGGAGTCCTTATTTTACCAAAACTCTTCCACTCCCTCTTTAAATAACCCCCCCATCTCTTCAAACCTCTTCACCTTCCCAACATTTCACCTTTCCCACTCCCCCAAAACTTCCCCCCTTTTTTCTCAAAAAATATCCCCTCTTTTCCCCCCACTTTTTCCCCCTCTTTTTCCCTATATAAGGTAGCTCATCTCCTCATCCCCCACACACACACAAATCCCCCAAAATTTGAAAAATTCCCTCCCTCCCCTCTCTCCTCTCTCCGGCCGACCTCCTCCGCCGACCGCCGCCGCCGACCGCTGCCGCCGACCGCCGCCGTCCGCCGCCGACCGCCGACTGCCGCCAACCGCCTGCCGCCGACCAGCTTCCCGGCCGACCCCAGCGCCCCTGCCGAGGCCGACCCCTCCTCGCCGAGCCCAAAACACCGCCGCGGCCGACCTCCTCCGCGCCGAGGCCGACCCCACCGCCCGAGGCCGCCCCCATCTTCGTCACCCCTTCTTTGCTTGAGTCGGGTGAGTCTCGTGCAAAACCCCCTTCTTTTTTTTTAGAGTTTCGTAGTTATCTTTTATGAGCATAGTGCCCTTTGTAGAGGCCACGCACCCGGTAGACCTACCTTTGGTCCTCCACTACTCGTCCATCCTAGACTCCGTTGCCTACGCGGACCTCCCGCCTAGCGACGGTGAGTCCATTGATTTAGACCGGTTCCCATCCCCTTCCGGGGAGATTGACCCCTTCTACCTCGAGTACCCGCGTATAGATCCTCTTGCTACACATCCACCATACATGTTGACACCCACGCCACTCCCGAACCCTTTTCCTCTGACCCGGTACACTGTACTGGACTCTGCCATCCCCCGGGGGTTCGGGTCTTCTCTGACGGGTCACGACATTGCCGTGGCTAGGGCCTTGGCTGGCCCGTCGGCGGAGGTCCATATCCCGCCTCCGGGGACCACTATATTAGAGCCCCCTGGCCCCAACTTCTTAGGGGTCCATGTCACCTCCCTCCTCATGGGTTTAGCCTTCCCTCTTCACCCCTTCCTTGTCGAGCTCTTGGACTACCACCGCGTGTCCGTGGGTCAGCTGGTTCCCAACTCCCACCGGGCAGTGGCGGCTTTTATCGTTCGATGTATCGAGGTGGATATTCGCCCCACCCTAGAGCTTTTCCATTCCTTCTTTACTGCGACCAGCTCTTCGTCTAAGGAGAGCAAGGGCTTCATGGCGTTCGCGGCTCGGCCGGGGACGCGGATTATGGATTGCGTGAGGGACTTCAACAAGGGGTGGAAGCCTAAGTTCGTGTTCATCTCTACTAGTGCGGCGCTCCCTTTTGCGGTGCCGTGGGGCGGCTATTTCCGCAAGTGTCGCAGCCCACGGTGTACTCCGGCGCTCGAGGCTTTGATCCGGGACTTCTTGGGCGGTACGGCCGACATGCTAGACTCTGAGGCTCTCGTTGACCACGAGTCCCTGCTCCGGGCGGGTTTTTCTCGCAACCCCCCCCCCCCCCCCCTTCGCTTCCGCGTGGCACCCCCGCTCCCCCTCCCGATTCTGCGGGGGAGAGCGAGGAGGAGTCTACCAGCGACGATTCGGAAGACGACATTCTAGAGATACAGGCTGACCCTTCGACACCTCCTCCCGCCAACTCTGGTTTGTCACCTCGTCGACGTGCTTGCTTGCTTTTGCTTTCTTGTTTGAAGTGCTCACCGGCTTGTCTTGGTATTCAGGTATGGCTCCCCGCCGCGCTGCCCTCGCGTCCCTCATGGAGAGTTTGAGGAACCGCGATGGCGAGGACCCGAAGCGCCGCAAGACTGGCGAGTCCAGCCATGCTGCTTCAGATGCCCGGGGTCCCCCGCGTGTGTCACGCCGCCGGGAGGTCAGGTCTACCTCTGACGTAGACCACGCGTCCGACGGTCCCCCTGCTGACTCCACCCTTCGGGTCTCGATGCCTGCGGCGCCTCCCCGGGATGGCGCGACTGACTGGACTATCCACTTCCCAGCTTCAGCTTCACTACTTGACGGGGATGTCCCCCCGGAGGCCCTCCTGCGTTGCCTCGTTCAGCCGCGCGATATGGCACGGCATGAGGATCACGCCGTCTTCCGCCCTTTGCTTGAGGTATGCTCTAACTTTTTGCCGCATGATGCTTGTGTTCCTTACTTTGCTTTCTTGCCTTCTACTTATGCCTCTCCTTGTATAGACTGTTGTTCATACCATGACTTTGGAGAGAGCTATGGGGAATGTTCGCGAGCAGTTGGCGACCGAGATGCGGGCTCGCCAGGTCGTGAGTGACAGACTCGCTGCGCTAGAGGATCAGCACACCGCGTTGATCGACAGCCGGCTGCGGGAGCGCAATGCGCATCAGTTAGCCCTGAAGGAAGCTGCGAGGGTGGCCGTTTCCGCCTACAAGGACTCCCAGGCCTTCATCCAGGATATCCAGGCCTACATCTCTGCGCACCCCCAGGAGACCCTGACTCATCTTACGAGTTTCCCGGCGGGGAATGAGTGTGTTGGTCGGCACGGGATGGAGTTGTACGAGGCGGGCGAGTCCACCATGCAGGGGAAGATCTATGCAGCCCTTCGTGCCAGGGATCCGTCCTTTGACCCCGCTGCTTGGGGCCTGCCTGAGGAGTTCGAGGAGGAGCCGGATGAGCTAGGTGATCCGATGGACACGGCTGTGGGTGCGGATGGCGAGCGCCCACCATTGGACTCGGTGGCTGACCGTACGTCGAGCGCGGACTTTGGCGCCGAGCTTCTTCGCTTTGCCGGCGTGGACGCCGCCGAGGAGGAGACCCAGGCTGCCTTGGGTGATGATGACGGTACTCGCGAGGCCACGCAGCCCTGACGACCTTTCATGTTGGCGGCATCCCCTTTCTATTCAGTTGTTGCATAGACTATCTTTCCATTAGACTTGTGTTTTTATTTCGTCTGTACTGGTGTTGCTTTGCTTTTTGGGTTGCTGCCCCTAGGCTCCTTTTGTTTACTTTGCCTGCTATGGATTTATTGGCTTCGCCGTGACATTGCTTGTTATGATATTGCACTCCTTTTCCGTCTTATGCTTTGTCTTTTACTTGTGTATTCATCTTGATTGCTTCTCGTCCCAACTTGGGACTGCTAAACTCTGGCGCCGTGGGAGTTTGGCCGCCCGCCCTTGCGGCGCCCTCTGGCCTGGGGTCGGCTAGCTGTCCCCGCGGGGCCTGCTGATGGGCTGCTCCTTTGGCGTTGGATGAGGTTAAACCTCGCACCGCCTGCCGCGCGGGACCCCTGGGTTGCGTTGCGCCCGTCCGGCGACAGGTGAGGTCAGACCTCATGTCGCCCCTAGGACGCCTTAGCGATTCTTGGGATGGAGTCCAATGACTCGCATCCCGAATCCTTCCGTTCGGCGGTAAGCGGGGGCGGACCTCGTACCACCCCTAGGGCGTTTGGGGTTGCGTTGCGCCCGTCCGGCAACAGGTGAGGTCGGACCTCATGTCGCCCCTAGGACGCCTTAGCGATTCTTGGGATGGAGTCCAACGACTCGCATCCCGAATCCTTCCGTTCGGCGGTAAGCGGGGGCGGACCTCGTACCACCCCTAGGGCGTTTGGGGGTTGCGCTGCGTCCGTCCGGCAACAGGTGAGGTCAGACCTCATGTCGCCCCTAGGACGCCTTAGCGATTCTTGGGATGGGGTCCAACGACTCGCATCCCGAATCCTTCCGTTCGACGGTAAGCGGGGGCGGACCTCGTACCACCCCTAGGGCGTTTGGGGTCGCGTCTGGTGCGGTCGCCGACCTCCGGGTCTGGCTGACCTCGTCCTGGCCGACCCCGAGGTCCCGCCGACCCTGCGTCGGCCGACCCCAGGTGGGTCGGCCCCGGGGTGTCTTTTGCTTGCCCGCCTCTCGGGACAGAGTAACTCGTTTGAAGGAAAAACTTCTTATTCCATTGTCAATGTAAACAGATGTTATTGTGGGGAACCTAGCTTTTATTTGGGGGGGGGGGGGGGGGGAGACAGGCCATACAAACGAATGTCTACTGATAGAACTTCAACAAGTGCTCCGAGTTCCAGACCCTGTCTACCACCTTGCCCGATGTGGTCCTTAGCTTGTAACTGCCGGGTCGTACTATGGCCTCGATAACGTACGGTCCCTCCCATTTCTTTGCAAATTTGCCTCCCTCTTGGGGTCTGCTTGCCTCCCTCCTCCGAAGGACGTAGTCACCGACCTGGAAGTAACGGGGTCGGACTCGGCTGTTATGGTAAGCTTTCGTCTGACGCTGGTAATTTTCTGCGCGAGCCATGGCCTCCTCCCTTCTGTCGTCGATGAGGTGGAGGTCGGCGGCGTGGTGTTGCTCGTTGAGGTCGGGGTCGTACGTGGCAACTCGATAGGATGGTATCACCGCTTCCGTGGGAGCCCGTGCTTCGAAACCGTACGCCAACGCGAATGGTGTTTCTCCGGTAGCCCTTCTTGGGGTGGTGCGGTATGCCCACAGGACGGTGTCCAACTCCTCTACCCATGTTCCACCCGCTGCGTCCAGGTTCTTCTTGATGCCGTCGACTATAGTTCTGTTGGCGTTCTCCACCTGCCCGTTCGCTTGAGGGTACGCCACCGCCACGCGGGTGTGTTTTATGTACCACTGGTCGCAGAATGCCTTGAATTCCTTGCTTTCGAATTGGCGCCCATTGTCGGAGATGATCTGCATGGGGACCCCAAAACGGTATAAAATGTTCCTTCGTATGAACTCCGTGCACCGGGTGCTCGTGATGGTGGCGAGGGGCTCCGCCTCCACCCACTTTGTGAAATAGTCTATGGCGACTATTATGAACTTCCTCTTCGCGAACCCCATGGGTAGGGCCCCGACGATGTCGATCCCCCAACGTGAGAACGGGATTACGGTGCTGATGGGCGTGTAGCTGGTCGCTGGCCGTCCCGGCTCTGCGTGAAAGTGCTGGCAAGTCGGGCATCCCCGTGCGTATTCTGCGCATTCCTTGGCCATGCGTGGCCAGAAGTACCCCTGCAATAGGGCCCTCCTCGCCATGGCAAAAGCTCCTTGGTGTGTAGCGCAGGTGCCTTCGTGTATTTCCTCCTTGACGGACTTGGCCTCGTCCGGGTATAGGCATCGGAGGAGGGCGCCGTTGTAGGACCTTTTGTACAGGGTGTCCCCAAGGAGGACGTATGTTGGTGATCTCCTCTTGACTGCCTTAGCGGCTGCCTCATCCGCTGGAAGGGTACCCGTTCTCTTATACTCAATCAGGTGGTCCAACCAGCATGGGGACCGCGTCTGTATGGGGAGGACGGGGTAGGCCTCCAGGCTGGACCTCTGGAGGTCTTCAATCCTCGCTATCTTAGAAACGTGCTCTGGGGTGCCGAGGCCGAGCTTGGAAAGCAAGTCCGCGTCCCCGTTTTGACTTCGGGGTACCTGCAAAATATCGTAGAGGGTCAATTGGCCGAGGACCTGGAGTACCACGTCGCGGTATCTCCTCATTCTCTCCTCGTTGGCCTCGAATTCACCGTTCACCTGTCCGACCACCAGTCGGGAGTCGCACCGCACCCTTATTTTGGAGGCCCTCAGACCCAATGCCAGCCTGAGGCCACCCAGTAGTGCCTCGTATTCAGCCTCATTGTTGGACAGCTTAAAGTGGAAACGAAGGGCGTAGTAGGCCCGGAACCCCTCCGGGGTTACGAGTACCACCCCTCCACCACATCCTTTGGGGCCGGATGAGCCATCCGTGGACAGGGTCCACCAATCCTCCTCATCGCTCTGAGCTAGCTCGGCGGCTTCGCGAGCGGTGCACTCGACTATGAAGTCGGCAAGCGCCTGCCCCTTGATCGCTGGTCTAGGCTTGAACTGGACATCGTATTGGCTCAACCGCATGGACCATTTGACCAACCTGCTTGCCGACCCTGAGGCCCTCAACACTGCCTCAAGGGGTTGGTTGGTGAGGACCCGTACGGGGTGTGCTTGGAAGTAGTGCCCGAGCTTCTTGGTCGTGGCGTCCACGGCGAAGATTGCTTTCTCCGTGGGTGAGTACCTGAGCTCGGCGCCTCGGAGGGCTCTGCTCACGTAGTACACCGGGCGTTGGGTTCCCGCATCATCCCGGACCAGTACGGAGCTGATCGCGGCCTGCGAGATGCCCAAGTATAGGTACAAGACCTCCCCTTTCTCCGGTTTGGCTAGGGGGGGTAGCGCCATGAGGTACGTCTTGAGGTCCTCAAAGGCTTTCTGGTATTCGTCTGACCATTCGAATCCCTGGTTCTTCTTGAGGACCCCGAAAAACGGCAAGGACTTCTCGGCCGACCTTGACTGGAATCGACCGAGAGCTGCCAACCGGCCATTGAGGCGCTGGACCTCGCGGAGGGACCTCGGAGGTTCCATCTCCAGGATGGCCTTGACTTTTTCGGGGTTAGGTTCAATACCCCTCTTTGAGACCATGTAACCCAAGAATTTCCCTCCGTGTACCCCGAAGGTGCATTTCTTGGGGTTCAAGCGTAAATCAAAATGCCTCATAATAGAAAATACCTCGGTCAAGTCGGCTGTGTGTAGGTCGGCCCCCGTGCTCTTCACGATCATGTCGTCCTCATAGGCCTGTAAGTTTCGGCCGAGGACCTTCTTGAACACCTTGGCCACCATTCTGGTGTACGTGGCTCCCGAGTTTTTGAGCCCGAACGCCATGACCCGATAGCAAAAGACCCCTTCGGGGGTGGTGAATGCCGTCTTCTCCTCGTCTTCCTCGTGCATGAAAATTTGGTGGTACCCGCGGAAGGCGTCTAGGAAGCTCATGAGTGCGCATCCCGCTGTTTCGTCCACCAGCTGGTCTATGTTGGGTAGCGGAAAGGGGTCCATGGGGCATGCCTTGTTGAGGTCCGTGTAGTCCACACACATCCTCCACGTGGGTGGTTTCGGTGCGAGGACTACGTTCGCAAGCCATGCCGGATATGTGACCTCCCTGATGTACCCGATCTCGAGGAGGGTGTCAACCTCCTTTTTCACAAACTCCCGTCTATCCGCGGCGAGGTAGCGCTTCCTTTGCTGGACAGGTTTGGCTTTGGGGTCCTGTAACACCCCAGATTTTTAAGACATTTAAAACTTATATAATAAAGGTGACATCTCATTAAATCCCAAAGCGTAACATAAGTGTATAGGGTGCTATGCCACACCTGGGCTAGAGAACCCAAGTGCACAGGCAGTCTAACTACTATCCTCCGAAATGTAAATGCATAACATAGCACGCAGGCCGAAAGGGAAACTACACTACGTCTATGTCCCAGCTCTAACGCGCTCCAGTGCTCTAATCCTCAGTGCCTGAAAGCCAAATATATCTGTTCAGCGAGAGATGCTGGTAACCCACTCCAACGTGTTAAAATACAATACATATAGCAATATATATAGATATACGAAACCATTTGAGCATGAAGATATATCCTACGAACTCTAGCTTTAAAACCGGGAATGACTCGATAGATAAGGCCGGACACAAGCAACAGTTATAGCAAGCATATGCAGTTCATAATAGATAAGGCAGATAAGGTAAAGGCATAACAATAGTCATAACCCAACATAAGTAATCCCCAATATAAATCCCATAGTCACATCCCCCAAGATACTCGTAATCACAACTCATCCATAACACAACACATAGCACACTTTGTTGGCGCCACAGGACCAATCGCATGCCCATACATGAGGGTCAGCGCATATAGCTCTGACACGGCCCCGCAGCACCCTGCCCCGTATCGCAACACGGAGGGGTCGATCGCAACCGACCGATGAACCGCAGCTCATCATAATGTTTGATCGCAACCAAACAGTGGACCGCAGCCCAAGAGAGTGTCATCTGACCGCAGCCAGGATAAAGGACGAACCGCAGCTCGTATAGAAACGTTTGATCGCAACCAAACGGTGGACCGCATCCCAAGAGTATCAATCTGACCGCAGCCAGCTTCTGAACCGCAGCTCAGGATAACCAATCCGATCGCAACCGAATTGGGGTAACACACACACATAACACATAGCAAGCACATGCAACCCACATTACACATTGGGAGGGGGAAGAAAGCGTATAACCTAACCTATGCGTGATCCATCACCAACTAGGAATAGCCCTAAGGGGTTCATACTTCTTTCACCTAGGTCAACGGGATACCAATTCAACTAGCATGCAATATAATAGACTCATAAACCTACGAACGGTACCCGAAACATCAAACTAGACATGCGCACGATAAACGGGGTCCGTTGGGACACCACGGGGGTCGGGGAAACATCAAACGGGGAAGCCGGGGTCCCGGGTGGGGGAAAATTCCAGCGGGTAGCCGGTGGGTGGGGGTCCACCCGCCGGCTGTCACTGTTCCGGGCAGCGGGTGCCCGGCGGGCAGCTGCCCGCCCGCCGGCTGCCCGCTGCCGGAACTGCCCGAAGTTGCCGCGGGTAGGTGGCGGGTCCCCTACCCCCCACTGACTCTTTTCATCACTTTTCGCCCCGGGAACCGTTGTGGAACCCGAAACCATGCTTAGACACTTTACAACGTAATTAACGACAACACGTAGACAATTAACGGATCAAATACGGGAAACGAGCGACACATAACCTATCATGCTTTCCTAAACATAATCAACACCCAAACATGCGATTTCCCACCCGATGATCCAAGAATCAAAGCATACGGTACAACCTAGGGTTCTAATCGATTTTATATCAACAAGAATACGATTCGTCTTCTAATTACAAGATTCGGTAAGAACAACACATAATCATCAAGGATACCAATTAATCATCAAGAAAATCATAATCATCAATAACAACACATAATCATCAAGAATCCCAATTAATCATCAAGAATATCATAATTATCAAGAAACTCCCAATATCAAGATTATCAAGATTCCCCATGGAATCATTAAATCAACATCAATAATAATCACCATAATTTCGCCATTCACAACAATATGGGGGAAACCCTAAGGGGAAATCATAACTATGAAAATAGGTTTTGTTGAGACATGGGTTACCTCTTAGCCTTAATTAATTCCTTGGCTATGAAGGATCTTTCTTTAAGCTTTCTTGATTTCTTGATTTCTCCTAGGGGAATTCTTGGAGCTCCTTGGGTGGTGGGAGATTATTGTGGTGGGGATTCTAAATGCCTTCTAAGTTCCATATTTATATGCTATGGGGTTTAATCCTCCTAGGACTAGGTATTGGGCTTTAGGGATGGGGGTCCACGGACTATGGTGGGCCTTTATCCCAACTTAATCATAATAATTTATTCTTTCTCATGGGTTATAGACTAATTAATTAAGTGGTCTTAAGGGGCCGTAACACGGGGTGTTACACTCTCCCCCCCTTACAAGGGGCTTCGTCCCCGAAGCCCGGTGTCATAGTCCACCCTTTCACCCCTAGACATCTCGTAGCTCAGCCTCCTGGGTAGGAATGTGGCCCTATGTTTGTCTTGGTTCGGGGTAGGCTGTACTTTTGGCGGCGTTGTGATAGAGGAGTTCTGGGTGTACCTCGGTTTCCTGCGCTGGAACTGGACGCTCCACGAGTGCCCAAGGCGGTCTCAATTGCTGCCACCCTCTGATCGAGTGCGTGTGTGGTGCGAATCAAGGATGAGAACCCTTCTTCCATGATCTGGTTTTGCCGATTGAGCTGTGCAAGAATGCGCTCATTGACTGAGCCCTCGTTTTGACCCCTCGGGTCTCTTCCTGATCGTGGTTGCACTGGCGGGTTGGGCCCGTTATCCTCCTCCTGCTCCTCATTTCCCTCCGAGCCCCCACAATCCTGCATGGCTCGCTTGAGCTTCTTGTTGGAGATGTCCAACCGGTCAACCAATTCTCTTCGTTCTTCCTCGGGTTTTTGGCAGATTTCTTCGAGGGTGAGGTAATGTCCCCCCTCGGTGAAGTAGATGTCGTTGCGGCGCAGGTTTTGGGCATTGAAAACCATACCATTGGGGGTTTTGACCTCGGTGTGGCTTAGGTCCACCCCCTTTTTCTCCATGATTCAACTTAGGATCATCCCGTAGGGTAGGCTAAGCCGGTTGTTTGTCTTACAGAATTCCATATGTTTTAGCATGAGGGCCGGCAGGTTGAACTTGATCTTATGCTTTAGGAGATACGCAAAGGTGCACTCCAAGCTTCCCACGTCCTTGCTTTTGTTATTGGTGGGCAAGAGGCTATCGGTTAGAATCATAACCAATATCTTTTGCTCCGCCGATAACCATTTTCGATTTGGTCGGGTGGCCGAGGTGAATCCGTCCTCCTTCCCGAGTAAGTACCCGAGGTAGTCCTTGTATCCCGTAGCTTGGGTGTCAATCCACCCCTTCCGGTCGTAGTTGGACACACCCGTGGTGGTAAATTTCAAGAGTTTGGCCAAACGGCCTTCGGAAAGCACAATTTCCTTGCCACGGACCTTGGTGGCGATTTCTACCTTGTCACCCCGTTTGGTGGCCACAAGATGTTGATAGAATTCCTTCACCAATTCGGGGTACGTATCCCCTTTAATGGTGAGGTATGCATCTAGAAGGCCTTGGTATTTAAGCATATCAACCAATTCCGGAGAGAATTGGTCGGGTTCAAGTGCTTTACCTCCGATTACGGTGTAATCGGCGTTGCTCCACTCCGGGGTGCGGATTCCGGGGGGTTTCTTTGGCATCGTGATACTCGTTCGGTGGGGGTGTTTGCCGGCGATTTTTTTTTCCGATGGGGCGGCACGGTCTCTGGCGAGTTTTCCGGCGAGGCGGCGCGGTTTTCCGACGGGTTTTCCGGCGAGGTGGCGGCGGGATTTCAGCGTGTTCTTCGCTCGTGAGGTCGACGCCGGTGGGATGGGACCCGGCTCTGGTGCGACGGGGGTGCGGTGGCGTCGTGGGGTTGGCTGGGCAGCGGGTTGTGGCTAGGCGACGATCGGGTGGTTGGCGGGCGGTCTCCGGCGGCTTGGTCTGGACGGCGGCGAGGCGGACGACGTTGCCGGGGAGTGACCGGGCGGTGGCGGCGTCGGTTCGGCGTGGGTGGGAGGTGGCTGCTATGGTGGGGCAGTGGGGTATGCGAGAGGGAGGAGGAGAGGGTGTGGGGAGAGAGAAGGGGAGAGGAAGAAGAAGAAGGGTTTTTGATTTGGGGATTTTGTGGGTTTTAGGGATTTAGAGGGGTTTAACAAGGGAGCATCCCCTTGAGGTTTCAAGAAACACACATGGGCTAGTGGTTAAGGGTTTGGACTTGTAAATAGGAGGTTTAGAGTTCAATTCCTAATGGTGACATTAGGCATTGCTTGGTGGTGTAGTCTCTCTTTGTCTTTTTCCTTATTTCGTCTTTCAGTGGGGAAGGGATAGAGTTGATGGCATAACTTGTGCTTTACCTTGTATTGGATCTTGATCAACGAAATCTTTATTCATAATACTTTCTAATTAGCTAGGCTAAGTAGACATAATGTTTCCGAAGTAATTTAAACTAAATAGGTGGTCTATACGTTACAAGGGGGTGAGGGCTTATCCTAGACAGAATTCGCTTTCGGGATTTTCTTCGGTGGGTTCTGCATGGTCCTCGTCTTCAGGGATTGGGTCTCCCCCTTCCAGGTTCTCTTCGTCCCCGAGGTTGGCTTGAGAGTGGCTCATAACGAATACCTTCCCGGGAGCGCTGTAATTCCCTTGGTGACCGGTGCCCCCGTGTTGGCCCGCGGTGGCGGGGCGCGGTCTTTGGGGTCAGGTGCACTGGAAGGCCTTGTGTCCTTCCTCCCCGCAGTTGAAGCATCGCCAGGGGTTGCCCGCGCAGTCCTTGCCTCTGTGGCTTTTGTTGCACCTCGGGTAAGGGAAACTCCTTGGGTTAGCTTCATTGGTCCCCAGGGGTAGTCTTGGGTTGGTCGGGTTATTTGGTCTCGTACCGATGTCATTCCTTGTTCTTTTCACCGGTGGTGCCCCACTTCCGGGGTTCCTTCTTCGCATCTGTTCTTGAACCCCGCGTTGAAGTAGTTGGACTCGATAGAGATTCGCGGCACTGCCGTAGGCCTCGTTGAGGATCCGGGGCCTACTTACCACTAGTGCCTTCCGGGCTTCGAAGTTGAGGCCCGATACGAACCTCTCTACCTTGGTTACCTCGGTGGGGACAAGTTCGGGCGCGAAGCGTGCCAGTTCGAGGAACCTTTTATGGTACTCTACGACAGTGGCCGTTCCTTGTTTTAGATGAAGGAACTCTTCATACATGGATGCTTTTACGTGAGTTGGGTAGAACCGTTCACGCAGTCGTGCCTTGAGGCTTTCCCAGTTGAACCCCGGTTCTTGTCGGTGGGTGGGTCCCTCGTGGATTCACCAGAGATCGGCCTCGTGTCCGAAGTAGAACGAGGCTATTTCCACGCGGCGTTCCTCCGGGCATTCTACCACCCCTAGAATCTTATCAAGGGTCCGGATCCATTCCTCTAGGACCGCGGGGTCTTCTTCTCCGGAGAACGTGGGCGGCCGGTGGTTTGAAACTTGTCGGGCGATGTCTGAGCTTGCGTTCGTCGGAGGTGGCGGGGGCCTGACGTTGCGAAGGGCCGCATCACTTAGTGCCTGCGCGACTTGTGTTAGTTGCTGTAGAGTTTGGGTCAAGGGGTCGTCGGTGGTGGGTTCCGGAGTCCCTGATTGTCTTCTGTTCGGTGCCATGTTATCGCCTTTCTGGTCAGGGTTTATAGGAGTGTTAGATTAAAGTCCGTTGTACTTCTTATGAAGTGATAAGTGGGGAAGAGTAACGTGTGGGGAAGTTTTATGTGTAGGTTTCACAATCTCACCGCGCGTCCGAAGATTCCTAAGCCCTACGTTTCTAAGTACCTAGAGTTCAAGCCTAACGTCCTAAAGTCCAGTCTTAAGAGTCTTTTCCTAGGGTCAAACTTAGGCTCTGATACCAACTGTAACACCCCAGATTTTTAAGACATTTAAAACTTATATAATAAAGGTGACATCTCATTAAATCCCAAAGCGTAACATAAGTGTATGGGGTGCTATGCCACACCTGGGCTAGAGAACCCAAGTGCACAGGCAATCTAACTACTATCCTCCGAAATGTAAATGCATAACATGGCACGCAGGCCGAAAGGGAAACTACACTACGTCTATGTCCCAGCTCTAGCGCGCTCCAGTGCTCTAATCCTCAGTGCCTGAAAGCCAAATATATCTGTTCAGCGAGAGATGCTGGTAACCCACTCCAACGTGTTAAAATACAATACATATAGCAATATATATAGATATACGAAACCATTTGAGCATGAAGATATATCCTACGAACTCTAGCTTTAAAACCGGGAATGACTCGATAGATAAGGCCGGACACAAGCAACAGTTATAGCAAGCATATGCAGTTCATAATAGATAAGGCAGATAAGGTAAGGCATAACAATAGTCATAACCCAACATAAGTAATCCCCAATATAAATCCCATAGTCACATCCCCCAAGATACTCGTAATCACAACTCATCCATAACACAACACATAGCACACTTTGTTGGCGCCACAGGACCAATCGCATGCCCATACATGAGGGTCAGCGCATATAACTCTGACACGGCCCCGCAGCACCCTGCCCCGTATCGCAACACGGAGGGGTCGATCGCAACCGACCGATGAACTGCAGCTCATCATAATGTTTGATCGCAACCAAACAGTGGACCGCAGCCCAAGAGAGTGTCATCTGACCGCAGCCAGGATAAAGGACGAACCGCAGCTCGTATAGAAACGTTTGATCGCAACCAAACGGTGGACCGCAGCCCAAGAGTATCAATCTGACCGCAGCCAGCTTCTGAACCGCAGCTCAGGATAACCAATCCGATCGCAACCGAATTGGGGTAACACACACACATAACACATAGCAAGCACATGCAACCCACATTACACATTGGGAGGGGGAAGAAAGCGTATAACCCAACCTATGCGTGATCCATCACCAACTAGGAATAGCCCTAAGGGGTTCATACTTCTTTCACCTAGGTCAACGTGATACCAATTCAACTAGCATGCAATATAATAGACTCATAAACCTACGAACGGTACCCGAAACATCAAACTAGACATGCGCACAATAAACGGGGTCTGTTGGGACACCACGGGGGTCGGGGAAACATCAAACGGGGAAGCCGGGGTCCCGGGTGGGGGAAAATTCCAGCGGGTAACCGGTGGGTGGGGGTCCACCCGCCGGCTGTCACTGTTCCGGGCAGCGGGTGCCCGGCGGGCAGCTGCCCGCCCGCCGGCTGCCCGCTGCCGGAACTGCCCGAAGTTGCCGCGGGTAGGTGGCGGGTCCCCTACCCCCACCTACCCCCCACTGACTCTTTTCATCACTTTTCGCCCCGGGAACCGTTGTGGAACCCGAAACCATGCTTAGACACTTTACAACGTAATTAACGACAACACGTAGACAATTAACGGATCAAATACGAGAAACGAGCGACACATAACCTATCATGCTTTCCTAAACATAATCAACACCCAAACATGCGATTTCCCACCCGATGATCCAAGAATCAAAGCATACGGTACAACTTAGGGTTCTAATCGCTTTTATATCAACAAGAATACGATTCGTCTTCTAATTACAAGATTCGGTAAGAACAACACATAATCATCAAGGATACCAATTAATCATCAAGAAAATCATAATCATCAATAACAACACATAATCATCAAGAATCCCAATTAATCATCAAGAATATCATAATTATCAAGAAACTCCCAATATCAAGATTATCAAGATTCCCCATGGAATCATTAAATCAACATCAATAATAATCACCATAATTTCGCCATTCACAACAATATGGGGGAAACCCTAAGGGGAAATCATAACTATGAAAATAGGTTTTGTTGAGACATGGGTTACCTCTTAGCCTTAATTAATTCCTTGGCTATGAAGGATCTTTCTTTAAGCTTTCTTGATTTCTTGATTTCTCCTAGGGGAATTCTTGGAGCTCCTTGGGTGGTGGGAGATTATTGTGGTAGGGATTCTAAATGCCTTCTAAGTTCCCTATTTATATGCTATGGGGTTTAATCCTCCTAGGACTAGGTATTGGGCTTTAGGGATGGGGGTCCACGGACTATGGTGGGCCTTTATCCCACTGATGGGGGTCCACGGACTATGGTGGGCCTTTATCCCAACTTAATCATAATAATTTATTCTTTCTCATGGGTTATAGACTAATTAATTAAGTGGTCTTAAGGGGCCGTAACACGGGGTGTTACAGGTCCACCGCTAGTTTGTGCGTGATGACCTCCCGGCTGAGGCCTGGCATGTCTTCGGGTCCCCAAGCAAACACGTCTTTGTAGCTGCGGATGACCTCAACAATCCGACCTCGGAGGTAAGCTGGGAGGCCTGTGCCCACCTTCACCATCCTGTCGGGCCGGCTGAGGTCCAGGATGACCTCCTCCGTCTCCACCACGGGTTCGGCGCGGGGCCGCTTCTCTTCTTCCCGTAGGGTCCTCTCGGTTACTGTGTGCACCTGGAGGTCCTTCCTCGTTATTTGGCGGCAGGCCTTCAAGTAACAGCTTCGACTGACCTTCTGGTACCCTCGCGCGACGCCCACACCAGTGGGGGTAGGAAACTTCAGGCAGAGGTGCTCCATAGAGATGACGCACCTGAGGTCCTCCAAGGCAGGCCTGCCGAGGATGACGTTGTGGGCGCAGCTGAGCTTCACTACCACGAACTCCACCTCCCATGTCTTGACGTGCGGTGGGGTGTCGATCCGTGCTTTGAGGGTGATGGCTCCTTCCGTCTCAATGGAGTCCCCGGTGAAGCCGGATAGCGGGGTCCGAACTTGGGAAAGCTGCTTCCTGGATAGCCCGAGCTGCGTGAAGGTGTCATAATACATGACGTTCACGGAGCTCCCCGTATCCACCAGTATCCGGTGGACAATGACGTCATTGAGCTCTAAGTTGACTACCAATGCGTCCCGGTGGGGTAGGGGACCATCCGGGAGGTCGTTGTCGGTGAACGTTATGGGCTCCCTGCGTGTCCTCTTCTCATGGGGTGCTCGGACGACCTCCCCTACGTACAGGCTCCGAGCCCACTTCTTCCTCTCGGCGGGCGTATCTCCTCCTTCCGGGCCGCCAAATATGACATGGATGACTTTCTTCTTTGGCGGGCTGTCCAGCTCGGTCTCCTCATCCTCCGTGAGTTGGCCGAGCTCTCTCTTGCGCGGGGCAGAGGTGGAGGGCCCAGCGCCTTCCTTCTTCTTCCGCGCGTTGTCGGGGCCCTTAGCGTGGTCCTGCCCGGACCTCTTTACGTATTGCCCCAGGTACCCTCGTTGTATGAGCTCCTCGATCTGCCTCTTGTGGACCATACATTCGTCGGTGTCGTGCCCGCGTTGCCGATGGAAGCGGCAGTACTTCTTCGGGTCGGCCTTGGGGGAGATCTTCAAGCACTCCTCGGGGAACGACACGATGCCCATGTCCTCCGCATGGTCCAGGATGACGCTTACGGGTTGCGTCAATGGGGTCAGGTGTCGTAATGGGGCCAGTCGGGGACCCCTATCACGGCGCGGCCGGGAAGGACGGCGGTCCTCTTGAGGTTGAGGTGCCCTGTCGCCCCGCCCGCGGCCTTCCTCCTCCTCCTTCTTCCTCTTCTCTGCTGCCTCTGCGTTGGCGTACCGCGAGGCGCGGTCCATCAATTCTGTGTACGTCTTCGGCTCGTTCCGGACGAGGTCGCTGTGGAAAGGACCCGACCTGAGGTTGTTTGTAAAAAATAGGATGGCAGAATTTTCGTCAAAATTTGTCACCCCCATGGCTTCCTTCTTCCATTTGCTCAGGTATTCCGCCAAGGACCCCGACCTTTGCTGTTTCAAGTAGCATAGGTCAGCAAACTGCTTCTGCCACTATATGCTGCCCACGAAGTGTGACATGAACTTCTTAGTGAGGACCGCGAAGGTGGGGATGGAGTTTATCGGCAAGGACCCGAACCAGTCCTGGGCCTGCCCGTCCAGGGTCGTGCAAAAACCGCGACACATGATGGCGTCGTTAATGCCTGTCATCATCATGACCGCCTTGTACCTGTTGAGGTGGTCCCGCGGGTCCGTCACCCCCGTGTAAGGGTTGATAGCCGGGAATCTGAAGTCCCTCGGTAGGGGTTCAGCCATGATGTCCTCCGTGAAGGGTGTGGCCAGGGCGTCCCGAGGTTCGGGTGATTCGTCACGTGCCTCCATCCTGCGCTGCAATTCGCGCATCTGCCGGCGCAGTTGTTCCATCTCGTCGCGCTGGGTGCTCGGGGGTCGACCTCTGGTCTCGCCCGAGCGCTCTACTGGTGGAGACGGCTCCTGCGGCATCGGGACACGGGGTTCGTGGCTCCGGGACCTCCGCGAGCACGACGACTCTTCCTGCCTTGCATGGGTGGCCGACCTCGGCCCCAGGCGGTCTCGCGCTGGCACGCGCGGGCCCAGCCGCCCGAGCGCGGATGTGGTCCGTGCCGGCCGGGCCCGCCTCTCTTCTCGCTGTTCGTGCCGTCCCCGGCTGACCTCCACGGCGTCGCGCCTCTCATAGGGCCGGGGTGAGTTGACTTCCACCTCCGCCGATGCCACGGGCTCCTGGGGGGCTTGAGTGCTGGGTCCGCTGCGCGTTCGCGGGAGGGGCGGAGGTTGGGGTGCTTGATCTCCCCGGCGCAGCCCACCCGCGAGGCGGTTGAGCGCGTTCGCTGCTTGTTCCAGGATGGCGGCATCCTCCCGGGAGGTTGGGGCCCACGGTGGCGCGAATGGCGCCGTCTCGCCGAGAGGGTGGCTGTTGGTGAGACGACCTCGGAGGTCCTCCCCAACCCCCTGTCGGTTCCCGTTGATCTGATCTCGGAGGTCCCCTCCCTCCACTATGGGCATGGTCTGCCGGCTTGCTGCTGTCCCGTTGGGGTGGTTGACGAGGGAGAGGTCTCGTGTGTGGCGCGAACCCTGCGAGTTGGGTGGGTGTTCGACCTGGATCTTGTCATTGCTGTCAATGAAGGATAATAGGGAGAGCGCTTAAGCTTGTACAGCCGCTCTCAACAAGAGCACCAATGATGGATTATATGAACCCGGGGGTCCGGATTATACAACCCGTGTATATGAATTAATACGAAGAACGAATAACGAAACAGTAAATACTATATTAATCGGACATAAATTGCTATTACAGAGGTTTAGAACGTGTAATAACGTGACAAGTATTGTATGAAAAGGTAGAAGATGTTTGAATAGGACACCGGGGGGTGTTTATATACCCCCAGCTGCTACAGGCCCCGGGCCCTCGGGAGGAGCCGCGGGCCGCGCCGCGGGACTCGCTCCACGCGAGGACCCGGCCATTGGCCGAGCACGGGGCTCGGCCGAGCCCTGTGGGGCCGGCGTGGGCCGACCCCATGTTGGGCCGACCCCGGGGTGGTTGGCCGTCCCCGGGGTGGTTCATCCTGTCCCGGGGCAGACCCGGTTTACACTGTGCGTTGCTCCGCTCCGGCTCCGTGATTATTCCATCAGTTTCAATAAAAATAAAATAAAACATACAAAACGTGTTGACTTGGGAGTTGGGAAGAACTAAAAATACAGATTACAGAGCCCAATTGTTTGGATAATACAGATTACAGAGCGCAATTGTTCGCATAGTCAAGGTACTAAATTAACATTTTTAATAGTAAGTGCTGCAATTAACACACCTCTAATAGTCAGTGGACCAAAATTGAAATTTTCTCTTATAAAAAATATCGTAAGTTAATTGCAATGACACCAAATTACATATTATCATCATTTACACATATTATTCTTTATTTTTGTATAAATAAATTTAATGTTACAGAACATATATTATTAAAAATATCTTGAATGATACTCATTTTATTTTTGAATGATACTCATTAATATTTTTTGAATCTTAATTGTTTATTAATGAATTTGTGATACTGATATATTAATGAACTTTCTTTATTGTGGAAATGAACTTTTGATATTTTTTTAATGAACATATTTGAGGTTAATCAGTTAAGTTTGTTTAATGAATTATTTAATATTTATTATTATAATGATGTATTTGCATTATTATTTTAAAAATGAACCTAATACAATGACTTAATATAATTGTATATTATTTAAAAATATTAAAATAAAAAACATCAATATGTATTTCATTTAAAAGATATTAATTAAAACATTTTTAGTGATATATATTTTATATATTAATTTATTTATGAAAAAAGATAAAAAAGAAAAATAAACATGAGGTAGAAAATGAACAAAATACATGCGCCAATAAACCAGAAAGGAAAATATTATATGTATAGAAAATTATGCTGTGTAATGGTGCACACGGATGCAAAAATGACGTTGTTTTGACTAAAACGCGCGTTCAACTTTTAAAAAAAAAAAAAAAATCAATTTCGATTCCCGTCAATAACATTATGTTGTGTATAATTTCTGAATGTATAGTTATGAAATTATGGATGTATAGTTATGCAATTCTAGATTTATAGTTATGAAATTATAGATGTGTAGTTACGCAATTCTGAATGTATAGTTATGAAGTTATGCAATTCTGGATGTATAGTAATGAAGTTATGGATGTGTAGTTATGCAATTCTGGATGTATAGTAATAAAGTTATGGATGTGTAGTTATGCAATTCTGGATGTATAGTTATGCAATTCTGGATGTATAGTTATGAAATTATGGATGCGTAGTTATGCAATTCTGATATTTTTTTTAAATCGACGTCAAAACGATGTCGTTTTTGCAGCACAGCATAACGACTCAGCTTTGAGTCTTGCACACTTTTCTCCGAAATTTTCGGCTTAAAGTCGAAAATTTTGGAAATTTTTTAAAAAATGATCGTTGAAAATCGTCATTTTAAAAAAAAATAAATAAAATTAAAGCTTCCGTACCAAAAAAAGAAGAAAAAAAAATTATAACCGAATCGTGATCACCTCTAATGAAAGGGAATAAAAATTGAGAATATAAAATGAGACTCTACCAAATATTTAAAGAATTGAAAAAACACTTTTAAATATTACATAGTATACGAAAAGTCAATTAAACCTATGAATTTTTAAAAGTTATATTTAAGTCATTGAACATACTATTTTCGTACTTTAAAGTCCAAAACTGACTAATAACCTGTAATAGCAGGTCACTAGGAATTCGGTGAAATTTGGCGGACTCAAACAATACTCTGACAATTAAATTACGTGGTCAGTGACTGACGACCATCGTTGGTCACCTTATTCAAAGAAAACTAGCAATCATTCATCAATTTTGTCAATACCAAATTTAAACATTGGAATGTCTTCGGAGCGGCTGAAAACTTGGTGATGACCTGCTATTATAGGTCATTAATCAATTTTGGGACGCTTTAATGCACAAAAATAACATGTCTGAAGCGGATTTAGCGATGTTACCATTATAAAGGGACAATTGACACTGATCCGTTCCTTTCCTCTATCGAAAGAAATTTAAAGATTTAATTGCAACTTTTAAAAGTTGAAGTATCTAAAGTCTAATTGATTTTTAAAATTTTCAATTTTGATGCATGACTTCATTTTTATTTTTATTTTTTAGTTTTGGTCATTTGACCAAATTGACATTCAAATACCACCGACAAGATCACACGTCTTGTTTTAAAGGGGTAAAATGTTCAGCCCAATTGGAGTTTTTATCCATTTTGGTCCCTTGACTATGGCCCATTCTCAATTTTGCATTCAGACTTTTAATTGCACCCAATGTGATCCCTCGACTTTTAAAAGTTACCCCAATTTGGTCCTCCGTTACCTTTTCCATCAATTAACCGTTAAGTTGGGGGGTATTTTAGTCATTTCGTTGTGTTTTGTAGTTTTTGTTCTTTCTCTACGTCTACCCATCCCTATAGCAGCCGGAGCAGCCAGAGATATCTCCAATCTATTGGCATGGTGCTAAATAATACTCCATAACCATATTCACGATAATCATATATATAATGATTGGACTTTTAATATGTACAGGAAATGATAAGGGCATGGAATAAAGCTTGCAAGTCACCGGGGCCGTCGGCGAAGCTTCTAATTCCCCGAGGGAAGTTCATGACCGGAGAAGTGATCTTCCAGGGACCCTGCACCGCTAATAAGCGCGTCACCGTTGAAATTCAGGGAACTCTTATAGCGGACACTGACCTCAGCGTCTACACTTCCGACTACTGGATCTCGTTCGAACATGTGGATAACGTGGTGGTCACCGGCGGCGGAACTATCAACGGCCGTGGCGAGGCTACCTGGAAATTTGCCGCCGGCGACACAATTAAGAACGCACCTCTTCTCCCTGTCGTAAGCTACCCGGCCGGCCTAGTCGTCATTATTAATGTCTCACGTTAATAAACTTGACATCAACGTGTGGCCGTTTTTGTGCAGTCTATGTTGTTCCAAAGCGTGCGGCATTCTGCCGTGCACCATCTCAACTTCGTGAACAGCATGGGATTCCACATGAAGGTGACGGACAGCTCGGGGATCAACGTTTCCCATCTCCGCATAACCGCGCCAAAGAACAGCCCCAACACTGACGGCGTACATATCAGCGAGACCACCAACATTAACATTACCCACTCCGTTATCAAGACCGGCGACGACTGCGTTTCGATCTACTCGCAGTCAACTATAGAGTATCGTGAATATGGTTATGGAGTATTATTTAGCACCATGCCAATAGATTGGAGATATCTCTGGCTGCTCCGGCTGCTATAGGGATGGCTAGACGTAGAGAAAGAACAAAAACCACAAAACACAACGAAATGACTAAAATACCCCCCAACTTAACGGTTAATTGATGGAAAAGGTAACGGAGGACCAAATTGGGATAACTTTTAAAAGTCGAGGGATCACATTGGGTGCAATTAAAAGTCTGAATGCAAAATTGAGAATAGGCCATAGTCAAGGGACCAAAATGAGTAAAAACTCGCCCAATTGTAACCCACTGATAAGTGCTAAATTGCACTTACTTTCAATAGCTATTTCATATCAATTTTGCCTGTCTTGCTTATTTTATTAGAATATGGTGCTTAGTTAATTAACATCTGATTTTCAAGGATTTTTGTGGAAGAATAGATAAAACAAAACACTTTGCGATATGCTGGGAGATTTTTGGTTGTAATCCATCATTAGAGTCTAATTAAGGTGATTTAAGTATCAATGGAAATACCAGAAAGTCCTCTATCTACACATTTCGTGTTGATAGCTTTCACATATTCAAGGCTAAAAATTCAGCTAACGTATAGCACGGGCGACTGATTCTAAGTTTGTCTTAGGTTTTTGGGACGTTGTCCCGCCTCATTGTATTCCAGTTTTGATTTAATGAAAATTTGAGTTTGGCTTTCAAAAAAAAAGGCTAAAAAATAAAAATTATTCAACAAGAATCTAACAGGCTGATCAAGAGACACCACATTGCGATAGGTTGGAAATTTGAGTGAGTTATAGAAAAACCTGAGTATTGTAATCATGAACAACAAACCAATTATATCCAAATAACTCCTCCCTGTGCTGTTGCTGGATTTGTAATGATTTACCCGTCCTTGAGCACCTAATTCTTAAACAATGTTATGAATTGAAAGCAATCCCTTCTAGTTTTGAAGAAATACTAACTCTCCGATTGATTGAGTTGTGTTTTCTTTAATAATTTAGTCCATTAGCATTAGTCAAATAAATAAATAAAAATTAAGTTATTTTACAAAAATAAAAAATAAAAAAAATTCAGTTATATTTAACCGATCGAAAACTGTCGATTTCGATTATATCAGTTATGAAGGTTGGTCGGTTAGTTTTTGATCGGTTAAGAAGGTTCGGTTAAAATTTTGGTTATTAATCGAAAATCGATTGAAACCAACGGACCGATGCTCACCCATATCTATGAGGATATATACGTTGAAATTCAGTTCTTTTGATGTGTACAAAGAATTTATGGGATAGAGATCTACTATACCAATATATAGTTTTGTTGTTCCTAGATTTTCAAAATTACATCAAAATTTTGGGTTCTAAAATACTTAACTTATACATTGTTAGAATCATCGAAATTAAATATAATAAACAATATTTCTAACAGAGTGATTTGTATTCCAAAAAAAAAAATAATAAACAGAGGGATTTGTAGTTTTGGGAAGGGAAAATTATATTGTGAAGGCAAAACTAATGTTTAGTAAAATATATAATATTTTTTAGTTGCTAGATAATATTACCAAGTATATATTGTAATTCCAAACAAAAAAAAAAACAAATATACATACTTGTGATTTAATAACTTTCCTCCTTTCACAAAATATAAAGGTTTGAAAATTGAAATGTATATAACCTTCAATTCAAATGGTATTAATTAAAAACAAGCTAAGTCTGAAATATGCACTAAATAAACATGTAGAAGTTTATGAAATGTAATTCTTACAAGCCCACACAAAAGAAACAATAGTCAAAATCAATCTAATCTTAGCTCATCCCTACACTTATTGCAAAGCAATTCCACTCCTCAATGGAACAATTTCAAATACCAAATTGAAAGCATTCTAATAATATGACAAAAAGTTACAGATTATTATAACCAAAACAAATTATGCCAAACATATTTATTTAAAACTTTAGATGCAGGAAACATAAATTTAGAATTTTAGAAATCAAAATCATATATCGAAATTATGAGTAATCTTCAATGCATTGTAAAAAAAAAAAAAAAAAAAATGTTGATCAAATTAAATAGAAACCAGATTATCAATTCAAAATTTGTTGCAAATCATAGTGGTCAACATAAAGCTATAGAAAACATGAGTAATATATAGGTTTTTGACTATTGGTTTTTTTTTTTTTTTTTCCAATTTTCTACGATAAGTATAGAGTATTTTAAATTGTTGACCATATAGAAGTGCAAGTAAATTGTGCTAAAATGCAAGTAGCAGTTTCATATAGTGCACCTAAGTGCAAGTAAAATGTACATTGAGCATCAATATTAAGCAGGGTTGCAAAAATCCCGTCTAGGCACCGAGTAATCGCCGCCTAGGCGCTAGGCGCCCCTAAGCCGTGGCGATTTCCCCCCTAGGCTCCCGCCTAGGAGACCGGCCGCCTAGGCGCCCGCCTAGCGCCTAATTCGGCCGCCTGGCGCCTAACTTGGCCGATTACGCCGAGTTTACTCGTCAATTTCTGTCGAGTTAGCCGAGTTAACCCGGCCGACTTGACCTTGCTAATTTATATATATATATATATATATATATATATATATATATATATATATATATATATATATATATATATATATATATATATATATATATATATATATATATATATATATATATATATATATATATATATATATATATATATAATTTTTTTGTTTGAAAACCATAGTTTTGATGTTATGACTTATGAATTATCATTAATTCATTTATTTGGATGTGTTATTTGAATAAATGTTGAAAACAACCTCATTAAAATTGTCAAATTGCAAGTCTAACACTATTTTTTGGCGCCCGCCTAGCGCCGCCTAGACCGCTCAGGCGCTAGGCGCTGCCCGGGTGCCCGACTAGCGCCTACTGCAACCATGATATTAAGTGCACCTAACGTTATAATTAGTTGCACCAGACATTAACATTAAGTGCACCTATGTGAAAGACTTTATCATTAGGTGCACGAGTCTTACCAAAGTAAATTACTTGCACTTGTAATTGAAAATAGTTGCACTTGTTAGTGATTTTACTTGCACTTTTTTTACTTACAAACTTGCATCAGTTACTTGCACTTATAACACGTTTTACTTGCACTAAAGTTCGAGTTACGTACTTACGAACGCATCATTTTTCTAATTTTACATTTGATTCGTTGATCTGGACAAATGAACAGTTGTGAAGGATTCTTATTTATCTCATGGGCGCTCATTCTCACTTGAGCGCGCCACTATATATATATACATATATGTGTATTCTTTTTTAAATGGCCCCAGTTGTAGTTGGAATTAAAAATAGCACTAGACAAACAAAACAAGTATATATAAGCACTTTTGTAGAGTTACTATAAATTATTGTTAAGAGTACAATTGGCAAATTAAATCTAAGTCCAACATCAATACTTATTGGTATGTTATTTTTTCACTTATTCAAAATAAACAATATCATATGAAAATAAAGTTTAATTTTGAGTTGGAGTAGAAGGAGCAAATATGTCAAGAAGTTTACTAAATCAACAAGTCTAAGGACATGGTTTCAAAGTTAATATCAATTTCTAACTAGGTGCATTAGTTTTCAATATTTTGTCCCTGCTTCAGTTGTTCATTGTGCTTAATTGGAATATTTTGTACATCTTAAAGTACTTTCCTAAAGCCATTACATTCAGACCATATTTCGTCATCTAGTTAGCTTATCAACTAATTTTAGCTTGCCTGACCACTATTAATTATTTGACTTAGTTAAACAGTCAATATGAGTGTTTAGTTAGTCAACATTTTATAATAGTTTATTGCTTCAAAATGCTAAAATTCAAAAAGTGGCTTAAAGTAACTTTTTCGATTACGAGAATTACGAGATTACCCAAAAGATGCCTGGAATAAATACAAGCTGACCTCAAATTATTTGATGAAGATAATACTCAAGAGATCGGCAACCCTTCCGCCGTTGCTGCCCGAACTGCTGCGAAGAAGAAAGAAAGAAAAAGGAATTTTTCTTTTCTTTCTTGTTGTCTCGCCGAAATGAAGAAAGAAAAAAAGAGTTTATTTTCTTTCTTTCTTTCTTACTGCCAAGTAGAATAATATGGGTGTGTTTCTCTCTCTATTTCTCTCTGTTTTTCCTGATTTCCCTTAGTGAAGAATGAGAACAAAACATCCCCTTTTGTAGATGTTGTTAGCCGACATAAAGAGGGAGAAAGGGGGAGAGTCCAATTTGAAGGGAAATTATCCTCAAAACCTCATCCCCTCAACTTCATCCCTTCAACTCCTTTTCTCCAAACTTCCACCCCTCAACTCTTCTATCCCATGACAATTAAATAATTATCAGAAACACTTCCTCAAGAAGCTATCAAATATTATAGTGAATATAAAATTGGCTTGGTCCAAATTGAGCTATTTACCACATAGGAGGGAAGCCCCAACCCAACAGTTGCATGTCTTCCTTGGCTTGTCTCGCCGGTGACGGCGGCGGTGTACGTCCCTGGGCGAAGCTCTGATACCATTTCGTGAGCTAAGCTGCGAACTGAGTAAGAGAACAGAGAGCACTTTGTTTATTCATTTCAAGAGGAAGTGGAAAATGACGTTACATGCAAAGGGAAAGGCTGCCACTTATTTAAGTAAAGTTGGTGGCAGTTGTAACAAACCAAGGGAATTGAAAAATAAAATTCTACCCCTATTATATTACAAACTCTTTTCTTCCTCCAATACCAATGTTGTCCTTTACAAGTTCCAAACTTAAGTTTTAGAACCTCAAGATTGGGCAACATACCAATAACTTCCATAGCATCCCATGGCAGCAAAGTTCCCTTCAGTGTCAACATTCGGAGTTATACTGGAAAAGCACTTGCATGTGGAAGTATAATAGGATCATCATGATGGCTATTATTTTACTTTCTCAAGCTTCTGTCAATTTGTAAGATCATCCAATCAATTTTAATTATCCAACGAATAATATTTATCATCAGACCAAGTAGGACCAACTACAAATTAAATTCCTCCACCCTCCTCGGTATGAAAATTGTTGAGTTTGTTTCATATATGGATTAGAAATATGAGTTTGTCTCATACTAGGAATAAGAGTGAAACGGGTAGACCCTTTGTATAGGGATTAGATCCCTATAAATATATTGGTTGTATCCCTAAGGGGTTGCGTCACTACTATCACCATCACTATGAATAAGAATATTGTTTCACTCCCGTGGATGTAGGCACTTTGCCTAACTATGTAAATCTTGTCTTCTTTACCCTTTCCGCCATTGTTTTTATTTTTCTTGTTCTTATTAATCTCAACAAATTGGTCCGTTCAAGTATAAAATTCGAGGTATCAAAGTTTGATGGTACAGGGAATTTTTGGTTATGGCAAAAGGGTAAAGAAGACAAGATTTACGTGGTTCGGCAAAATGCCTACATCCACGGGAGTGAAACAATACTCTTATTCATAATGATGGTGATAGTGGTGACACAACCCCTTAGGGATACAACCAATATATTTATAGGCGTCTAATCTCTCTTTCACTCCTATTCCCATCACTTTTGCATTTGGAATTCTCAAAAAATATTTGCTTTTTGAGATTCCAGGTCAAAGTCTAAGAATAGCAAAAACGTTTGGTGCTTCAAGTGTAAAGAGGTCGTGCACATATAAAGGGATTGTCCCAAATTGAAAAAGTAGCAAGAAATTGTAAACGCGGTACAAGGTTACTATTTAGGTTGCAATGATATGATGGTGATGTTTTTGTGGTTTCATCTAGTTAATTGTTGGATGCATGGTTTTTTGGTTTTGGTTGTTCTTATCACATATATCACCTAATAGACAATGATTTGCCACAAAAATTTTAGTACTATTTTTCTAGGCGATTATATATAGGTTCAGTGTGATATGTATGAAATGCATAAGAGAAATATGTTAAAAAGTGTTGAAGTACATGGTGTGGGCATGTTAGATTTCTATAAGTTTTGTGTGATTGGGATTTGGGAAACAAACAAGAGTTAATTACATTCTCCACTAAGCATAGAACTGATAGAATTCTTGATTATGTGCATGTTGATGTTTGATGACTTACTAGTGAGGTTTCTAGTGGTGGATCTCGTTATTACGTTACTTTTACTAATTTTTCTTTGAAAGTTTGGGTGTATTTCTTTTAAACAGAAATCTGAAGTTTTCTTTTAAGTTCAAATATCAAAATCAAGTACATGAGATTTCTGACAATGGTACAGAGTACATAGAAACTAAATTTCAGAAAATTTTTGAGCATATAAGATTTAGAAGGACTTTAATTACAATGCGCAAGATACCACATCAAAATGGTGTTACAGAAAGATTAAAGAGAACCAAGTCTAAAATATGAGTGAATAAACATTTTAGAAGTTTATCAAATATAATTCATACAAGCACACAAAAACGAAACAATAATCAAAATCAAGCTTATCTCATCCCAACCAGTGGCAGATCCAGAAAATCATCTTAGCGGGAGAGAATATTAAATGACGTTAGATGTCAATGACCAAAATATCAAACAACCATAATAAGGTTAAAATACAAAATACATTATAAATTATAATATATTTATGAGAAAATATGAAACATAATCAATTAGATAAAATAATTTAAATAACAATATATTCATAAACACTTCTAAATTTTAGTTTCTTTTAGTTAGATCGATTTTTCTAAATTAATTCGAATACAATAAAGTATATTATAAACTTGTATACTACATTAATTAAATGATTTATAAAAACTAGATTAAAAGAGCATTTAATTTGTTAATTAAATGATTCATTAAAAGTAGGCTAAAAATATTTAATTTATCTTGTAAAGAAATGAAAGAGAGAAGATAATTAAAAGTGTTGCTAATAAGATTTGAACCCATGACATAAGCCCTTTATAAAATAAAATTTAGTATTTAACCAACTAAACTACTCAAACTATTAATATTTGTCACATAAATATAGATTTTATACAATATTCCATGCTATATATATATATAAAGGGGTGGAGTGGGGGGAGTGGGGGCAGCTGCCCCACACTGTGTCCGCCTCTGATCCCAACACTTATTGCAAAGCAATTTCACTTCTCAATGAAACAATTTCTCAGACCAAATTCAAAGCGCTATATACTCAAAGAAAAAGGAAGGAGGAAATTCACATACCCAAAATATGTAGCTAAAGAATTTTTTTTAACATAAATTATAGCAAAAGTAATAAACCATAGGATTTTTATTTGGGATTGGACCGTAGGCCGGGAGCTAAGAAATAGAGAAGATTAATGTTTCAATTGATGTCATTGTTGTCGAAGTCATCTTCAAAGCAATTGAAGAATTCAACATTGGAGAGCTTAGAATCCTCCTCCTCTTGAACTTGCCTTGCAAAGTAGCTGGATTCAGGATCACTTACCTTGCACTTCAGCTACTCAAAAATTATGAGGATTAGTTATTTTATACTTTTTCATATGAAAAAACTAATAAATATTAAGCATTCTAATGATGATCTGACAAAAAGTTACAGATTATAACCAAAACAAATTATGCCAAAAATATTTATTTAAAACTTTAGATGCAAAAAAATATGTATTTATAATTTTAGAAATCAAAATTACGAATAATCTTCAATGCATAGTTTAAAAAAAAAAAAATTGTTGATCAAATTAATTAGAAACCAAATTACCAATTCAAAATTTGTTGCAAATCATAGTGGTCAACATAACGCGGGTTATAGAAAACATGAGTAATATATATGTTTTATATTATTATTATTATTATTATTATTATTATTATTATTAACAAATGCGTTGCTCTATTGCTCTAAGTATTAAAACTTTGTCATATGTTAAAAGATAACAGCACAAAGTTATGAACTAAAATCACTAGAAAAAATAATTAAGTGAATGAAAATATATTATTCACAATAATTAAAAATTGGGATGAAACAAATAATGAAAATAAAATACAAAAAATATATATATAAATTTTACTAGTTTCAAGAGTTTTTTTTTATGCAAACCTTTTTACATTCTTGTTGTCCTCTTTTCGCTTGTTCTTTTTCTTCAATAATGGTTGCTACCTGAATTTAGTTACATTGAATAAGTAATGAACAGGATAAAAACAAATGAAATTAAAAAGATGAAATTTTGTATATTTTTTTTTTTGAATGCTACGGGCTCTAACACCTCTACTGAGGCTCAAACTAACAACCTTCCAAATGGAAATCCAACTCAAATACCATTAGATCAGACCACATAGTCTTGATGATGAAATTTTGTATTTAACTATAGGAGTTTAGAAAATATTTGGTGTTGTAAAGTTGTATATTTTATTTTAAACTTTGTAGAAATTTTATTGATCAGAAATATTAGTTTCAAATAATATGTTGCATATGAAATGCCAAAATTAAAGACTACAGTTAAATATAAAAGTTAATAAAATATTCATGTTTCTAAGAAAAACTCTAATGGAGTTTAACAATTGTATTGTTGTATTGCTTTAAGAGCATCTCCAATGTGCTGCAAATATCAACGCCAAAACCCCATCCCACCAAATTACTCTCTCCAATGTATCCCTGCATCGCGGCAAAACGCCAAATAAAATGGCGATAATGAACCGTGCAGCGCCATATTTGGCGCTGCACTGTTCATCCGCGGCAAATTAAATATAGGAAAGAAAATTACCCTTTTGCCCATACTTCTTTTTATAATTCTAAATGTATCCTTTATTTGTTTTATATGTAATTTTTTATTTTGTTAAATACTTATATTTAAAGTTTGTATTATTAAATAAAAATTATACCATTTTAAAGATCTCATTAATACGATCGAAACAAGACTAATATTGAATATATATTAATTAAAATTTCAAATACATCAAACATAACTAGAACATAATAAAAGTTAAAATACATACGCGATACATCAAACATGACTAGAACATAATACAAATTAAAATACATACGAGACTACGTTAATATTAGAAAATACAAACACAATTTAAAAATATTGTTAAAGTATTGATCAAATTGTATTAGATGTTGTATGCTATATTATTATTATTGGAATATAAATTCAATTTTCAAAAATATTGTTAAATTCGATTTTAAAAAAATAATTAATCTTATGAAAAATTAATATTAATAAAAATTATTGTTTACATCATAAGTTATAATTTATATTAAACTAATTAAGTTCGAATTAAATTATATTAAATTAATTATATTCGAACTAATAATTGAGATATTAAATTATTTTAGTGTAAAAGTTTGGTGTTTTGGTATTTTGGTGTAAATGGGTTGGAGATGAATAAAATTTGGTGTGAGAATATACTGAGAATATTCCTTCTGATGTGACATTTACTGGAAAAATTTGGTGTTTTGGAGATAGAGGGGTTGGAGATGCTCTAAGGACTAAAACTGCAACTTATTTAAGAAGTTAAAGGGTATATTGCAACAACATAGACTAAAATGATTACTAGAAAGCAATAATTGAATAACTAAAGATGCAGTTTTTTCCAATAATTAAACATCGGGATGGAACAAATAATGAAAATAAAATACAACTTTTAAGATTTTATTTTTTTTTTAATTCAAACCTTTTCATGTTCTTGTTCATCAAATTTTCCTCTTTTCACTTGTTTTTTCACTTCAATAATGGTTGCTACCTGAAATTAAATAATTAATGAATAAAATAAAATAAAAAACAATTTAAAATTTGAGTGAGTTATATATAGAGAAAAACCTGATGAGTAGTATTGTAGTGATGAACAAGAAGCCAATTATATCCAAATAACTCCTCTTGCTGTTGCTGAATTTGTTCCGCAGAATGAACCAGCAAAGAATGACAACCATGCAACTCAATTAATTGCAAAGTGTATAGTTCAACAAAAGTGGAAGGGATCTTCTCCAAATGAACACAATGTTTAATGATAAGTCGCTCTAGGATAGGGAAAGCATTGTCAGTAGCTGTCCACTGCTTCAACTTCATTCCTTGAATGAGCAGTGATTTTAATTTAGGAAACCCACCTCCACTAAGTTTCCAATGTTGTCCTTTACAAGCTCCAAACTTAAGTTTTAGAACCTCAAGATTGGGCAACATACCAACAACTTCCATAGCATCCCTTGGTGGCAAACTTCCCTTCAAGGTCAACATTCTAAGTTGTACTGGAAAAGCACTTGCATGTGGAAGTATAATAGGATCATCACAATCGCTATTAAGTTTTAATTTCTCAAGCTTCTGTAAACATATAAGATCATCCCACCATTTTTCAGTCAAAGAATTTATATGAGGCTTCTGTTTAAGATCGTCATCCGACGAATCTTCAGTCAAAGAATATTCATCACGTACAAATTCTTTCTTCCTTTCAGGTATGAAAATTCCCATCACTTTTACATTTTGAATTCCCAGAAATACTTTCTTTGTGCATTGAGAAGGGCGTAACCAATAAATTGTCTGCAAGTACTTTAAAACAACACTCGGAGTATCGAACATAAACACTGGGTTAAATTGTAGATGCCTCAACATGGGCATCCTCCAAATTTCAAATACATGTGTTGTAAAATAACTCACCCTTCTTTCTTTGTCTACCAGAAACAAAAGAGTTTGTAGATTAATAAAAGTCTCTTTCAACTTCAACATTTTCAAATATCCAGAAGAGTATATTCTCAGAGCTAAGTATCTCAAAAGAACCAGATCAACACCACCATTAGTAAAGAACAAATTCCATTTAAAGCAAAGATTGCTTAGATCTAATACTCTCAACTTCTTGAAACTTGCAAGTCCAATTGACCTATTAACACCATCATGACAAAAGGAAAAAATGGATCGAGATTTCTTGGAGATATGATCAAGTGAAACATTCATTGTTTCAATACTTACCCAACGATAAGTATGCAAGTGACCAAAATGTCCATCTACAACACGTAAGAGGCCCTCCTCCATTGCTTTCCTCTTACAGAAGTCATGTACTATGTCATGCACCTTACATGTCTTAATCTTGCCATCCATGCTAATTTTGTCAATCAAAACCAGACTCCTAGATACAAGATCTTTTAGAAAATCCTCAGCAACTTCTTCTAAGCTCCTTTCACCTTCAACCTTTACAAACCCTTCTGCTATCCATAATTGAATAAGTTTTTTTACATGTATAGCGCTACTTTCAGGAAAAATCCCCAAATATAAGAAACAAATCTTCAAAAAGTTAGGCAAGTTGTTATAACTCAAAATAAGTATCTTTGAAATACCTTCAACAAGATCAGAACACAACCTTTCATAAAATATTCCCTCGATCTCCTTAGAAATCCATAGTGACTCATTGATTGCTCGTGCAAGTCCAGCAGCTATAACAGTTGCAAAAGGTAGTCCCCTGAAATAACTGACAATGTGTCTCCATATTGCCTCGACTTCTGAAAGCAATCTTGTAGGATGAATCTTTTGGAGAAATAAATTCCAACTTTCTTCTGAATTTAAAAATGGCACGTTTACAAAACAATAATTATACGATCTTGCGTACACGGCCACTTCGTCATGTCTACTGGTCAACAATATTCTACTCCCATTACAATCTTCTGGGAATGACCTTTTAATTTCCTCCCAATGGTTACTGTCCCATATGTCATCTAGAACAATCAAATACCTCCGACCAACTAACCATTTACGTACTAGGTCAGGTAGGTGGTCGTCTTTGACTTGATGGATGAATTCCTTCTGTTTTGGATGAATACACAACAAAAGCTCACGAAGCATTCTACATCTGTCATATGTTGCAGACGTAGAAACGGTTGCCCAGGCAAGAACATCAAAATGAGATTTAACTACTGGATCTTGGTACAAGCTTCGAGCAAAAGTTGTCTTACCTATTCCCGCCATGCCAACGATTGGTGCAACCAGTGTTTCTGTAGATTTGTCTTCAAGGAGTAACCGTTTGATATGTTCCAATTCAGCAGTGCGCCCTACCATTGTGCTCTGAAGCTCTAAGGCTGTGGGATGGGAGGAACTACTACTACTACTTTCAATCCTTTCCCTCGATGAAACAATATCATTCACTTGCAAATCTTCCTTCACACACTTTGTCAACTCCCCAATTGCATATACCAAGGTGGAATGAAAGCTTTCAGCAATAGTACTCCTACTCTGCCTTCCGCTATAAAGATTAATTACTTTTGATTCAATTTCATCTTCTATTCTCAGAGCAACACCTTTAAGCCTTGCTTTCCAGTCTTGCATCCGCACGTCGTCAGCGTTGAATTGATTCTCAGATTTCTCAAGAAAGTCAACCAACTCATGTAGCCTTCCATGGAGTGCTTCCGCTGCTTCTGTGTGGCCAAGAACACGTGGCTCTGGGAATAAGAACTCAAGCTCTACCGTTCGCATCAGTGAAGTCACGGCGAACCAGGCCATGGCTTACTCTTAAATTCCTCGAACTGCTGTATCTTATTTCATCTTTTTATTGTGATTGAGTGAGACTGGGGCTCACAAAAATCTGGAGAAACTGCAGATTGAGGATGCCCTTAGTTTCTGATTGTGTTTGTAAACTGCAGTGATCTGATGATCTGATAATCTGATATACACTATTTCTCTTTCTACGCTATTCAGTATTCACTTTTGAGGGCATTGAACTGGTCAATGCGATTGATTGATAACCAACCAATTCAAGTGGGCACTTTTACACTCATTTTCCTAGTCAACACGTTTTCAGGACCTCGATAGGTGTGTCCAATTAATCATTGTTTTAAAGAATTAGAAAAGCACCCCTAAATATTATGCAAAATTTCAATTAGACCTATGAACTTTTAAAAGTTACAATTAAGTCATTGAACATATTATTTTCGTGCTATAATATTGGGTCATTAGGGATCTGGTGAAACTCGGCGGACTCCAACAATACTTCGACAATCAAATTCAGCGATCAGTGACTGACGACCAATGCTGATCGCCTCCACTAGCAATCGTTTGTCAATCGTCAATACCGAATTTGAACATTGGAATGTCTTCGGAGCCTCGCCGAAAACTTAGTGATATGCTATTACAGGTCATTAACTGGTTTTTGGACTTCAATTTACAAAAATAGAACGTTCAAGGATTTAATTGAAACTTTTATAAGTTCAAGTGCCTAATTCCATGCGAAGAAGTTTGGTTGGCGGCGTCGGTGAAAAGCTAGAGATTCAAATGCGAAATTCCATTAATACCCTCCCATTTAACAGATTTTTAACCCCTGATCTAACGGAGGACCAAAACGGTTAACATTTTCAACGTCGAGTACTAAATTGGGTAAGAAAAATTGTCGACGACCAAATTGGTGATTTTACAATAGTCGAGGGAGCATTTCGGTAATTTACTCTAAAATAAAATTAAATAACAATTTCACATATTTGAGTGTATAAATGTCGAATAAAATTATAGTTATATCGAAATGAAACTGTAGTTATGTTGAATTGAAACTGCAATGTATACAAAATGAAACTGAATAACAAGAGTTACTTTTTGCGGAACGGGTGTCGTTTCTTTTCATTAAACAAAACGATGCCGTTTTAAAGCTTAGTACATAATCGATTATGCACCGCGGTGCACGATATAATTTGCCAAAAATCAAGCTTAACTCCAACACTTATTGCAAAGCAATTCCACTTCTCAATGAAACAATTTCTCAGACCAACTAACCGTTTGTGTACTAGGTCAGGTAGGTCGTCATTGATTTGATGGACGAATTCCTTCCATTCTGGCTCAATACACAACAAAAGCTCAAGAAGTATTCTATGGATGTCATATGTTACAGACGTACACACGGTTGCCCAGGCAAGAATATCGAAATGAGATGTAACTAATGGATCTTGGTACAAGTTTCGAGCAAAAGTTGTCTTACCTATTCCCGCCATGCCAACAATTGATAGAACCAGTGTTTCTGTAGATTTGTCATCAAGGAGTAACCGTTTGATATGTTCCAATTCAGTAGTGCGCCCTACCGTTGTGCTCTGAAGGGAGGAACTACTACTACTTTCAATGCTTTCCCTTGATGAAAGATTACCTTTCATTTGCAAATCTTCCTTCACAAACTTTTTTGTCAACTCTTCAATTGCATATTTGAAGGTGTAATGAAAGCTTTGAGCAAGAGGAATCGTACCCTGTCCTCCTCTACTATAACTATCAATTACTTTTGATTCAATTTCATCTTCTATTCTCAGGGAAACAACCTTAAGCCTTGCTTTCCAGTCTTGCATCGGCAAGTCGTCAGCGTTGAATTGATTCTCAGATTTCTCAAGAAAATCTAGCAATTCATGTAGCCTTCGATGGAGTGCTTCCGCTGCTTGTGTGTCGTCAAGAACAAGACGCGGGTTGGGTGATAAGAACTGAAGCTCTACCGTTCGCATCAGTGAAGTCACGGCGAACCAGGCCATATATATGTTGGGGAAAATTCGGATAAAATATGTCGTAGACCTGGGGCTACTGTTTTTTATAGGCTGAGAATGGATGAATCCTGAAGGGATCGGTGACGTGTGCAAGACACTACCTTAAAAGAAAAAATTTCCCGGAGACGGTTGTAGTCTTACCGGTTGCTTTCGACCAGTTAACACCGAAGCTCAGGATTGCAGAAGAGAAGAAGAGAATTTGATGAGTGAATAGAACTGAGGAGAAGCAGGGTATTTATAGTATTGGAAATACCCGCCCCTCCCCTCTCAGCCATTCATGCTCCACGATTTTAGGAAGAGTTGTGGTGAAAATGCCCACAAGAATAGGAAGACTTGTTCCACCACAACTTAATGTGTGGATGGTAGATTTCATATATAAAGTCTGAGTAAAACGCTGACCACACCACACCACACCACACCGCGACGCGCGTGCGAACCGAACCGGGCGGGCGGCGGCGGCGCACGTGTGGGGTTTCCTTTCCTTCTCTCTCTACAATAGTTTAAGCCTTCCAAATGGGTTGGTATTAAAAAGGTGGGAATTAGTCCCTTATCCTTCCAATGTGGGACAAGAGTGTCTTCCTTCTACACACTTTAAACCACCATCTTGAATGTAATCTCCAACAATCCCCCACACATTCAAGGTGGCAAGAAGAAGACGGAATTTCTGGCATGAGTGCTGATCGTAATGTCAGTGGTTGTACCTTGAACTGACACGTAGTGACTTGAGTAACTTTCTCCTTTGATAGTGAATTAGATCTTGAACTATCGAAAGAAGAGTTAGTTTTGAACTCAGTTCACACATCAGCAATCACCCTGTAAGTATATATAACTTGGTCTTTCTCGTAAGGTCAACTCTTTGACCTGAGACCTATCTCTGAATAGGTGTGTTTAGCTTCCAGGTTTATATAACCTCGAAGTTTGCTCACTGTATTGCTATTAAGCCCATCTCCCTCGATGTTTCGAGGATAGCTCTTTTGTTTAGCCCCTTCGTGAGAGGATCTGCAATGTTCTTTTCGGATTTCACATATTCTAGTGAAAGTACGCCACTTAGAATTAGTTGTCTCACAGACTCATGTCTGACTCTTATGTGTCTCCTCTTACCATTATAGGCACTATTTTTGGCTACGCATATCGCAGCTTGTGAGTCACAATGTATGGGCACTGACGGCGTAGAAGACCCCCACAACGGCACGTCTGCCAGTTGGTTTCTAAGCCACTCAGCCTCTTGCCCTGCTAGATCAAGAGCTATAAATTCAGCTTCCATCGTTGATCTGGCTATGCACGCCTGTTTCGTGGATTTCCACGATACTGCTGCTCCTCCCATGGTAAAAACATACCTGCTGGTGGAGCTCACCTCATCACTATCATTCACCCAATTCGCATCGCAATACCCCTCTAGGGACGCTGGGAAACCAGAAAAGTGCAATCCCCAGTTCATCGTTCCCTTTAGATAGCGTAACACTCTCTTTAGTGCATTCCAATGGGTATCGCTGGGATTATGAGTGTATCGACTTAGTCGATTTACCGCAAGTGCAATATCCGGTCTGGTATAGTTCATTAAGAACATCAGACTCCCAATTATTTTCGCATATTCCTCTTGAGACACACTTGCCTCTGTGTTCTTCGAGAGTTTTGCACTTGGGTCATATGGAGTTTGCGCAGGGTTCACTTCAAAACCGTTAAACTTCTTTAGCAGTTTCTCTGTGTAGTGACCCTGTGATAACTTGTAGCCATCTTTCTCTTTGATGACTTTCACTCCAAGTATCACATTGGCTTCGCCCATATCTTTCATATCAAACTTGTCACACAGAGACCTCTTTGTCTCTTTTATTGCATTTATATTTGAGCTAAAGATTAGCATATCATCTACATAAATGCAAATCAAGACAATGCTAGACTCAATCTCTTTTGAGTACAAACAAGCATCTGATCGGTTTACCGTGTATCCCAGATCTAACAGTGTTTTGTGGAACTTCTCGTACCACTGTTTGGGAGCTTGCTTTAACCCATATAGGGATTTTACTAGTCTACATACCTTCCCTTCTTGCCCGGGGTTGGCGCATCCAGGAGGTTGAGACATGTAAATTTCTTCTTCCAGGTCTCCATTTAGGAAAGCTGTTTTTACATCCATTTGATGGACTAGCCACTTGTGAGAAGACGCTAGAGCAAACAATATACGTATTGTGGCTATTTTTGTTACAGGGGAATAGGTGCAGAAGTAGTCCTCACCAAACTTCTGTTTATATCCCCTAGCCACAAGTCTTGCTTTGTACCTTTCAATCGACCCATCGGGTCTCATCTTCCTTTTGAAGATCCACTTACAGCCAATAGGTTTGGCTCCCTTCGGTAGGTCTACAACCTCCCAAGTGTGATTAGATTTGATTGAATCTAGCTCACTTTGTATTGCTTCTTTCCAGAAGACCGCATCGACTGAGCGTATAGCTGCCTCAAAGGATTTTGGTTCCTCCTCTAGAATTAACTGACACACAAACTGATCAGAAATTTCATTAATGTCATTTACTTCAGAAATGTACGTAATGAAATCAGACCCAAAACTTGTCTCGGTCCTTTTTCTCTTACTCCTTCTAGGTTCTTCTGACTCAATTTCTGTTTCAGAAGTTGAAGGTAGTGAGGACGAGACTTTTTCATAAGTATTTGATCCACGTTTTAGTGGGAATATGTGTTCGAAGAACTCGGCCTCTCGTGCCTCGCACATAGAGTGGCCGTCTAGGTACATAAATCTATATGCAGCGCTATTTTCTGCATACCCCACAAATATTGCATCTGAGGTTTTAGGGTTCTATTTTTCCTTTCAGCCACACCATTTTGTTGTGGTGTATAAGGTGTTGTCACCTCATGGATGATTCCATGTTTTTCACAAAAGGTTTTGAGGGAGGTAGACTCATACTCTCCACCCCTGTCAGACCTGAGTCTTTTTATCTTTTTCTCTAACTGATTTTCTACTTCAGTTTTAAAGCTTATAAATTTTTGCTCTGCCTCATCTTTAGTTCTAAGCAGATATATCTTTGAAAACCGAGTGAAATCATCTATAAAGGATATATAATATCGCTTTCCCCCTTTTGTCTCAGTATTTTTAAAATCAGCTATGTCTGAGTGTATTAACTCTAGAGCACAAGTTGTATGATGATTTGCAGTAATGAAAGGTTTTCTAGCTAGTTTAGCTTCAGCACATACTTCACATTGAGAAAGCGAATCATCTTGCACGTTTGAGAGCATATTCA